AGGTTATACAACCTTGTAGTTAGTGATCTTTTGGCATGCACAATGTCTGTCCACTTTTCTACAGGATAAGGGACATTCTCTTTTGTATGTGCAGCTGTTATGGAGTCTTCATCTCCGACAAAAACAGATAGTTTGACTCTAGAATTTAGGCTTTCAGTAAACAAATAGACTGCTGCCATAGGCTCCATTGCCTTTGACGATGCTGTATGATTGAGTCGACAATTGTGTTGCTTCGCTTCTTTTCCAGTTTTTCTAGCATTTGTGCAAACCCTGCAGGATTTTGTTCTCGTAGTATAATCCATAACCTTCCCATAAGTTAAACCCATCACTGCAGCTTGACCAATTGATGAGTTATGCCCCTTTCCTCGTTTTTGCCAACCCATGTCATATGAGCAGGGGATATTGATGCAGCCTTGGTCATCTGCTTTTACACCTTTTTTGATGGCAGCATTTCTTTCTTCTGACATTGCAGTTTTGCAACTTCTTTTTGCTACTTGCTCTACTGCATGCCCAATTTCATTTTCTCTACTCTTGAAAGTTACTGGGTTCATAGAGGGAGTATATTAATGTACACAGTAAATTATTTAGGTGAGTTTCACCGATTCCTGTGTTTAGACACCCAATAACAGCTCTTGAACTGACATCATGACTGAAGGGACCTCTTTGACCACTCCTGTGTTCACTGGAGGTCTTGACAACATTCTTTCTACCACATGCTGCACAGGTAACTGAGAACACTGAGGCTAACCCATATTTTCTTTCTTCTGTTGTGTTCGACAGTGACAAATTGTCTGAAAGTGACAATATTGATACTCAAGAAAATTTTACACTTAGTTCTGGCAGTTTGTCTTCTCTTTTGAAATAAATGAGCAAAGGTAAATTTTTTGCAAAGTTAACAAAATTTTACAAAAGCAGTAAATGCTACTTGTGGTTTGTGGAAAATTTACAACTTCTTGTTTGTTCCAAATTTGCCAAAAAACATTTTTTGTCGCTATCAATGGAAATACAATTGTGTGACACTTGGTATAGGGTAAGAACTTGCCCAAAAATTTATTGCTTATGAGAAGTTTTGTAATGTTTTGAAGATGTACATGTTTAATCAATCACATAACTGTTTCTTGGAAACCTGTTCATTTTATAGCCTCAAAGTTATGTGTACATGTACTTACCATAAAACTGAGAATTCATTTTGACTTTTCTTTAGTTGTGATTTTCTTTGGGCAGATAAAAATTGTTTCTTCTTACCTGCTTTACAGTGCTGACAACATTTCAATGAACTTCTCAAAACATCTAAGTCCATAATTCTACTTCCATGTGGAATGCAATTTTCCTTCTTTGTTTGTTTCTGATTAAAATTCAATATTTGTACGTGTTAATGGTAATTGTATTATTAGGTTGTAACTGTAACCAAACATTTGTTGGAATTTTAAAATGAAATGTCAAAATGTTTAGGTGTAATCATATTGACGAAACAACTTGCTATGAACTATTTGTGGTATAATACAAAAATTCTATTGGAAAATTCATTACTTGATGAGGGAATTCCACATTAAATTGCATGCAAAAACCGATATCAATTACAATTTAAGGCAGAATTCACGAGTGAAGTAATGGATTTTTGCAATTCTGCGCTAAATATCTTGCTTCATTAACCAATCAGAATGCAAGATTTTATTCAATGATGCGATTCAAATTGAGAACAATTTTTAGAGCAAAGAAAGACTTAAGGAAGCACTTTTCTTAAAACTTTTAGGTGAATTGCTTGGTGCCACACATACTGAAAACAAAATTTAAACTACGCCTGACTTAAACGGGTTTCTCTTTTTTTCGGTGGCGACCAATCTTCTACCATTCCATTAAAATCTGATTTCCTCTTTGCCCTCCATTCCTTTATCCCATGAGTCCTGTCCTCCACGTTTCCACTTCGAGTGAGTTTCTTTTGTGAAAACTGACCCTTTTCGTCAGGCATTGATGGTTGTTTTTCCTGTGTCAGTTGCACCTCTGCAGACACTCCAGCTGTTTTCAGTGTATCATCACCAATGGAGTTCAAAGCGAAGCCTCCAACCATGAAAAGTGCACTGTGACCACTCTGCGACTTCCTTCACGTTCGATCACAACCGTCTACCCTCACTGATATCGGCGCAATAAATGCTGCGAATTGACTGCTCAGTTTAACCACGTCAAGAGAAGACGAGAGAAGTGTATTTTCAAACCCCTTTTTTAGGAGTTTGTAAGTGGAACGCGACTCGCAATAAAAGTCTCGCCGCCATGTTTATTTTTGTTTTTCTTTTAAATACTTGCACGCTGGCGCCATTCTTACCCATGCTTCACCCGCCGAAAAACTATATAGAGCCACCTTAAGCCACCCTTTCCTTGATTGGCATCTCACCCCCCTCCTCTATCTGAAGACTCAGTACAGTGTGAGTCTACCCCTTTGTCCTCTGCACCCTTCAAGTAGAGATGAAGGGCTTCTGGATACCAGATGAAATAGAATGAACATTTCAGGTGGTAGTAAGAGTTACTGTAAGCGGTAAATTTTACCAGTTACTGCCTGAAAAAGTCAATGCTCTGAGACATTGGTAAAGTAGTTGTAGAACGGTGAGTGAACTTGGAAACTTGAGAATCAAGTAAATGCCTGCATGCAACATCTTGCAAATATCACATCCAGGGCTTGACACTAACTTTTCAACTTACTAGCCAAGTGGCAAGTGACAACTTAGATGTCACGACAATTTCAGTTTGTTTATTAGCCAAACTGGCCAGTGCAAATCGAAAACCACCAGCCAAAACTTAATTTCTACTAGTCTTTGGCTAGTTGGCTACCGTTAGTGTTGAGCCCTACACATCATTCAGCATAAGGCATCCAGAGCTAAAAGTGTGAAATAATGTTTTGATGTTATTTGGCTTATCCTGTGTCTCTGGTCTGGAACTGAATTTCAGCTGGTATGACATACTGAACAAATTAAACAAGTGACTGTCCCGCAAACAAAACTTGACTTTCATAGTAGTAGTGTTAAGCACAGCTTATCAAGGATATTTGAGTAGATTTTAGTCACGCGCTTATAAACATGTTAAGTGAATATTGTCCTTTACTTACTATTATTTATTTCATCAGGAGGAACTTGTTCAACTGAGAGAAAGTGTAAGAGCAGGACCATCATTAGATGCTGGTGACCTTTTCTCAGAGATACATGATCCAGTAAGCTTGCTTTTATTACCTTTACATTTTACTACTTTCTATTACCAGGTTAGTACGGTTTGGCCTAGAATGCCCAACCCTGAAATCTACTTTATCAAATGAGTTGATTATGTAAGTTGGCCACTATAACAAGTTTTGAGTGCCAGCCCTTTATCAGAGTGGATGCGGGCTAATGGGGGCCTAATTCTCAAAACTCTTTACAGCAGCCAGTTTACATAATCAACTTATTTGATAAAACCAAATTATCTTGGAATACCTGGCACTTACACAGCACCAGAGTTTATTTAGAAACTGATCCCCTTTATTATAAAATACATTTCACTGTTACTCAGAGATTTCTTCTGGAGATAAAACTAAACTTCTAGGGGACATGCATAATATACAGTGTAATGTATAGTGTCTCCTATACTGTAACTCATACATGTAGATTCATTATGGGAATCATTATTCTATACATATATCTTATTAACCAAGCGCGAGGGCCTTACTGGGAGAATATTGGCCTGAGGTCTTGACAGTACGGACCGAGCGCTGCGAGGTCTGTATGAAAAAGACCAAGGGCCGATATTCTCCCAGTATGGCCCCAAGCAAGCTTGGTTAATAAGAGATTTATTATACAACTGAAGTTCAAAGGGACACAAGTGCAGTATCATTCAGGACCATTTCCGGTCCAATACTGAGAGAATATTGACCAGCAATAGAGCATTTTGATTGGTTGATTTTAGTTGTTGGCCCTCTGACTGCCCGAGTCGTGTAATAAATTTTTTTATCCACAAGCTTTAGACATTATTCTCTTGTGGCACACTATCTAGGATCTTTTTCTTCCTTCATCAACTACTTTTCATGTGTGTACTGTACCAGCCCAAGGCAAGGTGGAAGTCCCATCTTTTTTAAAGTCAATCTTCATTACTTTACACTTGAAAGTTTTAAAACAAGAATTAAAAATTTTGTGGAAGTTCTTCACAAAACTTAAAAGAAGTGTCTGTTCTCAGATCACTAGAGAATCAAGGATGGGGAAATTAATTTATATTTATTGAAATTTAATACTTGTTACCCAATGCCTGCAAGTGTGGAGTATTAATTCATTTTTATCTGATACATGTACAGAAGCATTGTCATAGTATGTACTTGAAAATTTTATGGGTGCTGCAAAATGCCTGTGTGCTGAGTGCTAAGGCAAGAACCCTGATTAAAAATACAATACAATACAGTACAATACAATTTTCTTTATTTCAAGAGGGTAAATACATGATTAACCCAGTAAAGAGTTTTCTAACACATGGCTCTCTGTAAATAAACCCACCCATCCCACCCCAGGGGAGGACATGCATCACAACGTAATCTCGTGTGTGGGAAATTACCTGTAGCGTCTCCTACCCTAACCCTGCAGGAGAGAGACCTCCATTTATTTGTCCCTATCTGAGAAGACTAGAATATCTAACCATTTCTTGATGTTATAGAAAGGCAGCAAATTCTTCTTAATTATTTTAAGACCCTGAGTGTTGGTTCGGCTGGGGCTTGAACCCTCGACCTCCCGCACAACAGTCCAGCGCTCTATCTATTGAGCTAACTGGGAGGTGGTTAGCTCAATGGATAGAGCGAAAAAATCTTCATTTTTATAGGAGAATCCAACCAAAATGGGCAGCATCCAACAAATCAAAGATTTGCTTTCCAAAAAGGACAACACCATACAGTCCCTAGAGAATCAATTGGAGGAAAGTGAAAACATGGTCAGACAACTGGAACAGCAGGGACGAGACAATGAGGAGAAAGTAATGAGTGAGTTAGCTGTCAAGATCAGGACAGCTGAAGGTTTCCAACTAAAACTTGAAGAATGTAAACAACTGCTAGAGGATCGGAACAAGACAATTGAAGGTCTCATGGACCGACTTGATGCACAGAAGCGGCTCATAGACGGTAGGGATCAGGTTATCGATCAGTTGAAAGCCATGAAGAACCTGGACAGTGGTGCCGATGAGCTTGTTTCCACATTACGAGAACAGCTGGAAGCAATGAGCAGTAAACTTGAGCAATCTGTGGATGAGACTGAGAAAGCTAAGAAGGAAGTGCGTCTGCTCAAGAAGGAATTAGAGGAGAAGAGTGTACTGATTGCTTCGGCAGAAAAGGTACTTGCAACAGACTACACTATCAGACTAAACATAGATAAATCTGTGTTAAATCTTCAGGAAAATGTTTCTAATAATGGAAAACATTATAAAGTAGCCTGATAAAAGACAATTATTCAGAGAAGTACAGGTAAATACAACAGCCAAATTCTATTCACATGTACAGCTCTTAGATGGGACATTTTACCGTATAGGTCTTATAGACACTCTCCTAAGTTTATGTTTGAACCACATTTACTTGGTAGTTCACTTTAAACATACAAAGAGCTACCAAGTACTGTAGGCACACATAAAGATGCAAACAAAGAGTTTGTTTTTTGGGGCTTTATATTTAATAATCATCATGTCACTACACAAATTATATTTATTCTGACTGTCTACTGTTTACTACAGCTGTCATAAACTTACATATGTGTAATTTAATTATGTTGATGGTGTTAATGGATAAATTTGATGACCCTTTTTATCATCACATTTTAGTGATACTCTGACATTTTATTGCTTAGTAGAATGAATAGTACTCAACATTATAAATATATTAGCACAATTTATTAAAATGTTTCCATCTCCTTTCCAAGCACTATTTTTGTATTGTTCATTTGTAGATAGAGCAAGAGAAGGTATCGTTGTTGCAACACATGCAAGATATGGAAGAGGAACACAAACAAGCTGTGGTGAATCTGCAGCACCATGTACAAGAAAAAGAAAAGGCTCTTGCAGCTGAGTTTGCAGAAGCTGAGCAAGTATACAAGACAAATGAACATGACCTTAAAGAACAACTGGAGGAGAAGACACGAATCATAGAGGTGAAATTAGAATTCATAACTTGCCTTGATTAATTAATCCACAGGTACATTAATATGCTGCACATTGTATATACTTGCCATTAAATAGAAGGGGCTATACCATTTTGTCCTTTTCAAAAATCTACTGATGTAGCAGATAATGTTTCAAGTTCTCAAATGAATTTATTTGCATGTGGTATAGAAAGAAAATTCCTCAAATTTGTAAAGACTGAGTTATTAAGAGAAGACCATTGTTAGCTGACAGCGAGCTTGGGAAAATTTTCTATTAGAAGTAAAGACAAGATTTATGGATTCCTTATTTCAAATTGTGGATTTTTTATCAATGCAATATGAGAGTTTCCTATAAATGTGTGAGTTGGTGGAATTTCTGGTCAATTAAGTGAAAATTTCCTGTCTTGAAATATCATGCTTTGGTGAGTATCATTAACTCTAAAAATTTGCTGACTTGGTTTGGTTTTCTTTGTTTACAGTCTAAGGATGAAGCTGTTCAAGTTCTCAAAAGGGCCATGCAAGAAAAAAACTTGAGTAGTGAGGGGCTGATGCCACCCCCTCATAGTGACAAAATAGTGGCTCTACTTGAAGAAAAGGTCAGGGAACGTGAAGAGACCATTGACAGTAAGTCTGAGAGGATACGTGAACTGGAAAATGATGTAGTGGACAAACAAAATTGCATTGATTCACTTAAGAAGTTAGTTGATGATAAAACAACAGAGGTGAAGGTGTTACAAGAAGCTGTTCATGCTAAGGATCAAGAGATTGAAGACATAAGAGAGAAGCATGAAACTGAGTTAAGTGAAAAAGATTTGAGGCTTGCTTCACAGGCAAAAGTAAATGGTGATTTGGAGAAAACAGTTGCATCCTTAAAGGAAAGTTTAGCTGGTCTGGAGTCTAAAGAAAATGTCACTGAAAGACTGTTGCTTCTTGATGCTGAGAAGGAACAACAATTTAGAAATGAAATGGAAGCTTTTAAAGATAATGAAAAGACTCTTAATGCACAGCTGCAAGCAGCTCTTGAACAGAACAAAACAATTTCTGAAGAACTTGCCTCAGCAAAAGCCAAGATTGAGGCAAAGGAGAAGGAGTTACATGATCTAAGTACAAGGATGGGAAAGTTAAAGCTTCAAGCAAAAGCCAAGCTGACCAGTATTCAGAATGAAAAAGAGAAACTTACCAAGGATATGCAAGAGGTACAGTTTGTACATGTGCATGTTCAGTAATACTGAGGTAATAAAAAATTGATACACTGTAGTTGATAGTTAAACAAATAAAAAGTTGATACAATTGTCCACTCCCCAAATGGAGCTTCAAGGGGCAGTGCAAACAAAAAATAAAATTTCTCTTTTCGTAAAACTCAAAAACAACTGGGCAACCCATAGCTTAGGACAGATCCATTTGAGGAGTGAGTGATGGGGAGTTTGAACACAGGATTTAAAAATTCTAAGGGCCCAGCATTTTTATTAGTCAACAACAGTGTACATGAATACAACATTCTTAGAGCTTATGTCAGTTTTATATGCAGAGAGTAGGTTGGGGCTGGGATGGGATCATCTCTTTTTGTGCAGCAATGAACATGTCAACTTACATTAATTTTCATTAGTTGATTTTCTCTGTATTTGTATGCACATGTAGAGGAGCACATTTTAATTATGTAGCATTTGATGTCTCTTATTTGTTATTACTTTAAAGCTCATTGCAAATGATGTCTGTGTTAAAACAGTTCAAGCTACACTATAAAATAATGATTGTAGTTTGATTTCTTTTTACAGCACTTTGTTCCACAATTGCATTACATTAGTCATGCATAATTATATCAAATTTAGCATGAACATTAATTTTAATTTGGATGTTATTTTAGCCACAACATACACACTTGCTCAACATACAATCCCATGTAGATTCTCTGTAGCTCAGTGGTAGAGCATAGAAGCATGGAATCGGAAGGTCTAAGGATTGATTCCTCATGGGGACTCAGCATACATGTAGAGTTTCTGTAGCTCAGTGGTGGAGCATTGAAGCATGGAATCGGAAGGTCTAAGGTTTGATTCCTCATCGGGACTCAGCATACATGTAGAGTTTCTGTAGGTCAGTGGTAGAGCATCGAAGCATGGAATCGAAAGGTCTAAGGATTGATTCCTCATGGGGACTCAGCGTACATATAGAGTCTCTGTAGCTCAGTGGTAGAGCATCAAAGCATGGAATCGGAAAGTCTAAGGTTTGATTCCTCAAAAGGGCTCAGGCTTTTTTTTTGTCCTATACTTGTGACTAGATGGAACTCAAAACTTACATTCTTTCTTAATTCTGTTTACAACATACACACTGTTTTATGATTAAGGTTGAACTGCATCTGTTGCATGAAAGAGAAGAAAAGTTAGCCATACAAATGAAGATAACACAGATTGAGGAAGAGCGAGAGGCTGCTGATTCAAAGAGAGTAGAGTTAGAGCAAGCGCTGGAAGAGTTTGTGAGGACAACAGATAAGAAAGGAAAACTGAGTTTTCCAGAGAAGAAAGCTTCTCCAGATCAAGGTAATGGAATTCTTCACTTAGTATATTTACATTCACTTTTTTTGTCACAAGGATTTTCGTCATAAGCTTACTGTTAATTAAAGTGTTTTCGGGGCAAGATTTTATCACATTACATGTACATGTACACAGACACACTGCTTTTTTCAGTAATGCACAAGGTCAAACTAATAAGTCCCGGAAGTCTAAGTAACCTTCCCCCTCTTAGTAGTACTATGTTTTCATGAATCCACACTTCTTGTAATATTATCATTGCTGAACAACAAGGTACATGTAGTGTTAAAAAAACTTTTGGTGTGAAAACTGAATCTGTTCTCATGTGTTAGAAGAAGATGATGTTCCTGAGGAAGAACTGGAGGGTAGTGGTACCATGTCTACTATCATTGGCTCAAACACAGAAGAGTCAGGTTCCATCAATGTTATGAAAATACTGGAGGAGGAAAGATACTGTATGGAAAGAAGACTTGACCTTATCACCAAGGTATGATGATTACAGTGTTGTTGTTATTTATATTGCCTTTGGTGTCGTTACTAGAGTGCTATGTCAAATTGGCCCAAGTAATCATAAACCAGTTGTCTCAGGTCGTGGTGAAGTTTTTTTTGGAAAAAAATGGGCAAGTGATTTTTACATCAGTTCTATAATATAGAGTTCTCACAATGCCTGTCTTCCACTGTGGGTATTAAAAGCTACAAATTACACTATTAATGTATACTTAAAGGTGTATGATCAAAATGTGTGGCAAACCTAATGTACATGTACACTGCAGATCCATTGTCCTCCATTTAGGTTATTGTAGTGGACCTGCAGCTCTGATCAAAGTACATTAACCCTTTTTTTTTGCCTTTACCAAAGGAACGTGATTCCTTGCAAAGCAAAGTGGAAGAGCTGGAGGAATTGCTGGAAGCAGAGAAAGAGCGCCAACAGAAAAAGACAGAGGAAATCAGCTCAGATGAGGATGCCGAACATGCAAAGCACATGGCAGAGGAGTCTCTCATGATGCACATTGAAGCTCTTCAGGAAGAAAATGAAACACTTAGGTAATGGATGTACATGTGATTTCTATTATGAAATATTATCAATGACTCGTATATGTGCACGATCCTTCGCAGTAAAGCACTATTTAAGCAATAGTGAAAAATCAGACCTGAAAAAAATTCAGGCCTGTACGGGATTGGAACCACTGACCTCTGCGATACTAGTGCAGTGCTCTACCAATTGAGCTAACAAGCCAACTGGGAGCAGGCCATCAAATTAATTCAACATGAACCCGTAGATGATGACTATTTGCAAAGCATGGCTTCTCAAAGGTTCAGCCACAGTCTGCATATCATTCACTGTTAAAAGACAAAAGAGTCTCTTTCACGTAATTAGAAGCTAAAGCTGATGGTTTTTTTCCACTGACTAAGTCTAAGCTCCTGCAAACTATTCTTAATGCCTCCTCTGGTCTTGTCAGTCTTGATTTCTTGAACCTCCTCCAAGCCTGAGTTTCTTCATCTTCATAGGATATCACTGTAGGTGACTTGTCAGAGGGCTACCCTCATTCATTTATTACGTGATTGGTTGCCAGAGTACAAGTAAAATGTCTTCTGAGCTCTGATTGATATACATATCTTGGTGTCAGCAGGCCTTGTTCTTCTTCTTGCAATATTGCCTTGGACTGAGAGCTTTGTAACTGTTAAATTGTTGAGCCAGGAATGGTTACCAGAGGTGCTTTTTTCCACCAAACAATCATTTCTCAGAAAACAAAAAACAATGGTACAGCAGTAAAATCACGTCAAATCATGTACCAGGCTGAGGAATTTTTTATTTAAATTTAGAAAAGAATGTTATATTATGACGACAGAGGTGCAGTTTGTATTGGGCAAGATCACAGCCTGTAGTAAAATATTATTCCCTACAACTTTCTGTTTTTTTTTTTTTTCTCCTTAAGGGCTACCTTGGAACTGGAGCAATCTGCACTAGCAAACCTGACAGAACAATTTAAGCAAGCTCCAGTTAAGCAAAAGGTAGGTTCAATTTGAAAAAATAAAAGATCATTTCTGGTGCCAACATATAACTTAAGTAGCAACCATGCTTGAAGACAATGAACAAAATTCTGTATGTAGTCTTTTTAACCCTTAAGCACTCCTTTGATCTCAATACCAATTCTCCTTTATAAGTGCTACACATTTCTCATGATTACAGGTTTGAGAATTTTATGCTTAATTAAATGATATCCCCTCGTTAATTTTCCTTTTTATCATCACCTTTCTGCTTGATAATAAGTTGATGTTTGTAGAAATTACTTTTTTGTTAAATTCTATGAAAGGAAGAGTTGGGAAAACACTGACCAATTTTGACTCGCACAGATTTAAGTAGATACTGTATTATATCTATGTACAGACTACGTTATTATTCCTTAAATTACTGCAGATTTTTTCTGGAAAGTAGGGGGGAGTACAATGTGCATAGTCATGTACAGCCACAGAGACCTTTACTGCCGATGCCTAGTAGTTATTATAATAACTTAGCAAAAGCCATCCTTCGTAAGTGTTGATGCCCAATCCTTGTAAATTTTAGGAGAACTTCGTAGAGTAATACTATTAGTTTGGTCGTTTTGAAGGGGCAAACTTCAAGTGTTAATGGCAAAGCTTCCTAGACTCATGATTTTATTTAGTAATTCGCCCTCGTGAGTATCTTATGCTTACATTTTTTCATAATAGGTGTACCAGAGAGAGTTTTGTATTCTATCAGATAACATTCTCCAGCTGATAGATTGATAAATTTTCCTCAATTTTATGCTCTTGGGTTAACTCGTGGGAGTTAAAAGGCTATGCTGAAGGATCATTAATCAAAAAAGATGTTTTTCTAAATAAGTTAAATGATAGAATTTATACTGGAACGGCATGCATGTTGGTAACCGGATAACTCAAAACGCTGCTACGCTGAGAAGTCTTTTTAATTTCAATTTTAACATCAGGTAAACAATTCCAATATATCTTGTCACTGTACCGTATCTTCTCCCCCAAAAAAATTACCTAGTATAAAACATTCCTTAAACGTGTTCGAGTAAAAAGCATCGCTGATTTAACATTAACAACTTCATTTTCTTGATGAAATCGTCTTCATGTAGTTAGAAACCTAAAACACTTGAAAAATTCTGATTCAAGACATCCCACTTTTCAGCTATTTGACAAAGATGAACACATATCGTACCTGGAGTCTAAAGTGGCTCAGCAACAACAGAATCTCCATCTGTTTAAAACAATGCTCCAACAAAAAGAAGTATATCTTATGGATGTTAAAGATGAGGTGAACAAACTCGTCTTTTTTAAGTGTAAATATCGGAGTAAATTAATAAAGTAGTTAACAAACTAAAGATTCGTTCTCAATTAAAAAATTTGATAATTTTGTGCCCGAACAACTTTCCATAGAAGATTGATAGGTCTTCCCATTTTTTAAGAAACTTTTGAGAAAAAAATATTGGTCGACAAAACTCTCTAACTTCTGCAAGTCTTAATCGTCAGAAACAATTAAGAGTATGGTCGTCAAACAGAACTCGGTGATGATGAACTCAACAAATTCCATGGAAAATTGATAAGCCCTTACATTTTAGGTTAGTTTCCATTTGGTCTCTAGGTTATGGTTGTATTGTTTAGACAGACATTGCGGTCGATATACCTCCTGTGGTTGTGATGCTAGTCTTGATCATCAACCGCACGAGGAAAGGAGCTCGCGGTTCTTCCCTGAAGTTCTTCCTGGGGCAGATTATTAAGGACTGGTACCGAATAAAATGATTGACATCGAACGTGCCGTGATAAGTCCAATCCTTGGCGTCACATCGAAGACGTTTCAATATGGTTGTCTCGATTACGTTATCATTAATTTGAAATGAATACCAAGGGAGACGATTTCCGACTTAAAGTATAGATACCAGAGGGAACAATCACTGTCCAATCCAACCTTTTGTGATCTAAAAACAAAAAAAAAAAGGGCAGAAGTTCTTAAATTGCGTATGTAGCCTATCAAAAAAGTAAACAATAGCGAGAAAGAAAAGTGGATGTCATGGCTGTGAATGTGTTTTTTAAATTGGCATGCCTGGAGGAGGAGAGAAAGTCAGAAAGAAAAGATTCTATTTTGCCGTGCATCTGTTCGGAAATAGTTAATAGAAGAAAATGTGGTGAGACCAAAAAAAAGGGCACCCGAGGCGCAGTCGAGTGTGTCACTGATGTTCTTACCGCGTTTTGACGTTCGCTGTTACCTGGTAGTGCGGAACACTGCAACACGAAATCTGTTTGTTTTATGTGATAAAGGAGAAAATTGTTGTTAATGGGGACGTCATCTACAGAGGCGTATGTTTCTGTTCTCCAATAGATCATAAGTGAGATTCAGCTATAGTGGGTTTATACCTCAGCTTATTGTAGAGTTAAAAATAATTATAGAATTTTTAAAATACATCTTATTCACAACTTAAATAGTAAGTATCATGATTATACAAGTTTATATAAGTTGATAACTGGTCGTACTGGTGGGAGGCACAATTAATAGCATCTATACACTGTAGAATTGGTAACGTCACTGTAGAATCATCACCAGACTTTGAGAGTGAATAGAAAAAAGTATTAACAGATTTTAGAAGTTGTAAGAGAATACTGTGCGAGATTCTTCCCTTGCTTTAAACTTTAACAGAGGAGAATGATAACAAGCAACTCTTCCACTAGTTACTAGTCAGTCGCCTTGGGAAAGTGTTCCTATAAAAAGCCTTTTTTTAAAGTAAAATCGCCTTTGGAAATTTTGATGTGGCTCAAACGGTTCGATCTAACAACCAATAATTTATTTTCCAGAACGAGTTGCAAGGAGAAGTTGATTCGGTGAAAGAGGTTTTAGCGAAGGAGAAGGAAAAAACAACAGGTAAAGGGACTGCTCTCAACATCTAGCTTCTCTTAATTTAGCTAGGGTTGCAGCATATGAACCCTACCTCGATGAGCCTTTTGGATTTATTCAGACGTTTAATTTTTCTATGAAAATGGGGTCATTAACTTAGGAGTCAGTAAAAAAATGTTTGTTACCTCTAGGACTTGCAAGCCAACTTGAACAGATTCGGGAACAGTGCACTACACAATCCCAACAGATGGATAACCTTAAACTGGAAATTGAGGAAAAGAAAGGCGCTATAGAATCGCTCGAGATCCAACTTCAAACTAGTCTAGAGGATCAGAAGAGAGCTTTGGAAGACAAAGATAAAGACATTCAAAATCTTCACTTAGCATTGATGGAAAACAGCTCGGGTTTTGAGCTGCTGAATGCTAGCTTTAGTGAAACAAGCTCCCAGGTACAGCAACTTCAGGAAGAGCTGGTCTTAAAAGATGCTGAGCTCGTCAGACTGAAGAAGGAATTAAGTGATCAAGAGTTAAGTCTGGATCAGCTCAAAGAAAGTTACACGGATGTCTGTACAACGCTCAACGAAATGCAAGGGAAGTTAGCGAACAAGGAGGCGGAGTTAACAAAGCTGCAGGAAAGCAAAGACCGCCAGATGGCTGAACTGGAGTCAATGCAGTCCAAGCAAGGCGAGCAGGTTGGAGAAATCCAAAATCTTCACGAAACTATTGCGAAGAAGGAAGATGAACTTGTTCAGCTCAGAACGACATTTGAGGAGAAAGACAGCAGTTTTGAATTTCTGAGTGCCAGTTTTATGGAAACCAGCTCCCAAATGAAAGGGCTCGAGGAAAGCCTTCAGGCAAAGGATACTGAACTAGGTGTTTTACAACAAACATTATAGGAGCGCACTCTTGCTTTTAACAAGCTCACTGGCGATCTTTCAAACACTACTTCGCAACTTGAGGACATAAAAGAGACGCTCGCTAGCAAAGAAAACGAGATAGGCAATCTTAATTCCAAATTCAAAGAACAGCAAATGACATGCGCGGAACTCAGCACGAAGTGTGAAGAATCAAGTCTGAAGGTTAGAGAGCTTGAAGAGAACTGCGCTGCAAAGGAAGTGGAATTGAAAACACTGAAAACTGCTTCGGAAGCACAACACTTGCTAAATGAACAATTGAACCAAAGCTCTGTGGAGTCTAATGGACAGATAACGCAGCTTCAAAGTCACTTGAGGGAAAAAGATCAAGAGGTCAATTCACTTCAGGCAAATTTGGTAGAAAAACACACAAGACTGGAGCAAGCAGAGGAACTTTTGATTACAAAAGAAAAAGGTTTAACAAACCTTGAAAGAAAATTGGAAGAGCAGAACAGCACTATTCAACAGCTGAGTTGTAGCCTGCAAACTGCAGAAAGTCAGGTGAGGGATCTTGAAGAAGCTGCAACCAAGAACAATGAGGAAGCAAGTTCACTGAAAAAGGAACTTGAAGCTCTAGGCTTGGAGCATGAAGAACTGAAGTCAAGTTTTACCGATGCTAGTTCTCAGATGAAAGAGCTGCATGATCTGCTCGCGGCAAAGGAGAGAGAGTTGAATGTCCTTAAAGCCAGTATGGAAGACCAAGGCTCAAACTTTATTGAACTTACATCTCGTTTGACGGAGCAAAGCGCTCAGTTACAGGAACTCGCCAATTCTTTATCTGCTAAAGAAAATGAGATCAGCACTCTTCGAGTCAGCTGTGAAGAGGAAAAAGTGCGATTTAGTGAGCTTGAATCTCGATACAGAAATGAAATGGCTGGACTTGAGGATAAAATCGTACAGAGAGAGAACGAGAATGCAGCTCTGAAAGCTGAGTGCCAAGAGAATGTATCAAGTCTTAGTGAGCTTAACGCAAGTTATGACGAGGCCACGTCTAGAGTCAAAGAGCTTCACGAAATTATAAAAGGTAAGGAAGAAGGATTTAGGGTTCTTGGTGCTGAATTTGAAGAGCAGAATTCCAATTATAACCAGCTTAAAGCAACCTTAGAGGAATCAAGTTTGAAGATAACCGAACTTCAGCAGGCCCTTCAGGCTAAAAGTAAAGAGGTAGACCTGTTGCAGTCCAGCTCAGAGGAAAAAGCGCTCACTCTTGAGCAACTGAATGTGAGCTATAGTGAATTGGCGGCTCAAGAAAGAGAACTACGGGATTTGCTTGTGGTCAAAGAGGCTGAAATGGAAAAGTTGCAGATTATTGTAGATGAGCAAGCTTCTCATTTAGAACAGTTACGGGCAAGCAATGCTGAGAATTCGTCTCAAGTGAATCAGTTAATGAAGGAACTTAAGGATAAAGATACAGAACTTAGCCAGATGCATGTTGATTTTGTCGACAAAAATGCCAGCATTGGAGATCTAGAGGATCGTTGGACTGAAACGAATTCTTTGCTTAACCAATTGCAGCAGAGAGTTGCCGAAAAAGAGGAAGAAGTGAACTCGTTGAAATCAAGTTTGGATAATCAGAGCATCGACTTTGGAACTAAATACGACGAAATGCATGCTGGAATGAGTGATCTACGTATGTGTCTCGCTAGTAAAGAAAAGGAGCTCCTTGTGTTGCAGACTTCTTTACAGGAGAAGAACACAAGTGTTGAAAACCTTGACACCAGCTTAAACGAGACAAACGCACAACTGGAGGATCTGAGGAGTCAGCTGGCAGCTAGAGACAGCAAGTTTGTTGCGTTGAAGAAGAAAGCACAGGCTTTGAAGAAATCTTATGAAGTAGTGTCTGCTGAGAATGATAGTAATAGAGAGGAATTGGAAGAGCTGAGGAAGGAGAAGGGGCTTTTCTTGGAAGAAAAAGAAGCAATGGAAACTTGTTTAGCGCAGCTGATTGAACACAAGAATCAACTTCAAGCCAAAAACGAGGAGGTTCAAGAATTAGAAACGAAGATTGGGAAAGTAGAAGAAGCACTTCAGCTGACCAGTGGTGAAAATGAAAACTTGGCATCAAAAATCAGTGAGCTTCGAGGGGAATTAGATTCTCTTGAACAAGAAAAGAAGCAGCTGATAAGTGAACGTGAGGAATTTGTTTCTCGCCTTAGTGAAGTAGAGTCAGAGAAGTTGTCGATGGAAACCTCTATTCATGATGGCAGAGAGGAGATGTCTTTAGTTCAGTCAGAAAATGAGAGCTTCAAGACTAATTTGGATGAAACGAAGAAGCAACTTGACCATAAAGTGAAGGAGGTCAGCGATCTTAAAGAGGTCATAGATCATTTAAAAAGCGTTGTGGAGGAAACTAATAAGTCTTCTCAAGAAGATCTAAAACAGCTGGAGTTAAAAAAGAACGAAGAATTACACGAGAAGCTCTTAGCCAAAGATGGAGAACTGTTGGAATTGTCTGAAGACTTGTCTCTCACCCAAACAACGGTTGGGGAATATCAAGCTAAATTGCTGGAAAATGAAGACGCTTTGCAAAAACAATGGAACGCTTTCGAGGAGGAAAAAGAAAGCTTGCAAGGAAAGCTTAGAGATATCTTAGCTGAAAAGAATTCTTTGGAAAAGAAGCTCTCTGAGATGAGAGAGAGTCATGATGCTTCATTGTCAGAGTTCGATTCTGTTAAAGCTGAAGTTGAAAGAGCCAGAAGTGAGATAGAGTTGAAAGATAACCAAATAAACACCTTGCGGAATGAATTAAATGGGATGCAGAAAGTTGTTGAGGAAGAACTTGTTTCATCCCAAAAAGAGGAATCGTTGAGCAATCAACTAATTGCAAAGGAAACAGAGCTCTTGGACCTGCAAAAAAAACTGAAACACTTTCAGGAGGCATTACTTCTGAAAGAACAGGAGGCCAATGAACTGAGCGAGAGATCAAGAAAGAGCGAAGAAGCTATGTCGATTACGAACACTAAACTTCATGATATGCGTGCGCAGGAAAGTAAACTAAAAGAATCCTTAGAGGAAGCTGAGCTAAAAATTGTCCATTTGCAGGCAGAGCTTAATGACGTTGCTTCAGAGTTAAGGCAAGTGTCTCAGGAAAAGACAGCTTTTGAGTCAGAGTTGCTTGACGTCAAGGACAGACTGGGTGCTGCTGACCTGGAGTTGAATTCCTTACGGGTTACCTCAGATAACACCTCCAGAGAGCTAGCCCTAAAAGAAGAATGTGTAATTAACCTCGAACGAGTTGTTTCTGAGTCAAAGGCTATGCTCGAGAAAGAACGTCAAGGAAAAGAAGACACAGATGCGTTGATGGAAAGGGAACAAGCCCTAAATAACGAGTTGGAAGATACTATTAACGAATTGAGTGGGATGAAAAAGCTTTGTCAAGATCAAGAAAAAGCAATGATTGAATTTAAAAAAGAACGTTGTGAGAATTTGGAGGAACTAAAAGTAGCTAAATCACACGCTGAGAAGCTGATTGATACGCTTGAAGAAATGAAGTCTTCTCTGAATGCTGTTAGTAAAGAGAAAGATACCGTAATGGCAGAGCTGGAAGAGACTAAAGGTAAACTAAGCGAAGTGTTGGCTGCTAAGGCTTTGTTGGAGTTAGATCTTCATGATATCAGCGTGAAGCTGGAAGCAGCAACAGCTGAGCAAGAGCGCTATGCTAAAGAATTAGGAGGCACAAAGAAGGAGCTTCTTGACCGTGAAGAGAAACTCGAAGAGTTGCGAAGCGTCGGGGAACCTCAGATAGAGCAAGTAACTCCAGTGGATGTAGTTCTTCTGAGTGCTGCACCCGAAAGAGAATTCTTACTGGGAACACCAGCCGATGAAGTTTCAAAATCCTCGTCGCGAGAAAGACAACTTGTCAATCAAATTGAACAGCTTGAAAAGGAAAAAGGTAACCTGGAAGCTGAACTGACGGACATTGTGTCAAAGGTGAAAGAGGTCACAGATGCAAGAAGTGCTATCGAGGTGGAGCTTAACAATACAAAGGCAGCCATGAATGAGTTGACGGTACAGCATGAGTGGGTAACATCTGAACTGCAAAACCTAAAGGAAGAGTTTGAGGAACAAGAAAATGAATTGCACAGGTTAGGGCAAGAACTAGTCGATGCAAAAAAGGTCAAAGAGGAACTACAAACGAATAATGTAAACGAGAACGAAGACAGACTGCAACAAGCTGAAGAGGAAATTGTACAGATGAAGATCAACTTTGAAGAAACTGTCAGCAAGAGAGTTGAGGAAATTTCGGAAGCAAAAGAACTTGAGAAGGTTCAAATAGAAGAGCAACTTGCAAAGAAATTGGAAGACATCAAAAGTCACAAGGACGAAGTGATTGCTAAGTTGAAGGACAAAATACGTGAGAAAATTGACCTTAACAAGAAAATGACAGCTGAGTCCAGGCTCAAGTTGGCCAAAGCGCAGAAGGAAAAGGAAGAAGCTTTGCAGGAAGTTCAGTCTCAGCTAGAACTTCAGACGCAAACAACCGAACAGCTGTCGGCTGCATTGGATCAGCAAAGAGAAATTTCCAAAAATAAAGATGAGGAGGTGGAGATGCTTAAAAGAAAACTCGTCGAATTGGAGAATGAAGACGGACAGAAAGACCTGGACTGGCAGGAAACACTCTTGGAGTTGCAGAATCTTAAACTAGAGATAGAGAAGCGTGATCAAGAAAAAATTGAATTAGATACTCGTCTTCAGGCCAGTGTAGGTCAGGATGAATTTGAGAAGTCAATTACAGACAGGAATAAACTTATTGCCAACCTTAAAAAAAGGTTAAAGGAAGAACGAACAGCAAAGAAAGAAGAAATGACCAAATGGCAGCGTGCTATTGCAGAGAAGGACGCCGAAATTCAGCAGCTAGAGGTAGTGATATTTGTAAGAATCTTTGATTATTACTGAGTGACCAAAACCAACCGAACGAGTAGGTAATCGAACGTCTTATGCATTACGTTAATAATGATAATTGAACTGAGTGGAGGGCAGTTTGGGCTGAAATCAAACGCGTGATTTCAAAATCGAACTCGCGCACAATCTTAAATATGATTTCAGACCAAAATTGCACGACATGAGGTTCAATTACCACTTTATTACCTTCATTTTGAAATCGCCCAAATACAGGACTTGGTCAATTCAAATATTTTGATTGATGCAGTACTGAGCCAGTTTTTAAATAAAAAGCGGAACCGGAAACTCTTTTGCATCTTATTTTGTATGCAAAACAGAAAGACTGACGTCATGTGTCAAAAACTCAGTCAAGCGTAAAATGTGCGATTTAGAGCAAAAAATGGTGCGATTCGTGAATAAATCGCACCAATTTGAGCCAATCAGATTGCAGGGACCACCAGTGATTTAAAAAATTGGTGTAATAAACCCTTTGACCCCTGAGAGTGACTAGCTTCCAATTTCTCCTTACACTATCACCCCTGAATCAAACATCAAGGTCGTGACAATAATGGAAATGGCCAACAACTACAAAAGCTCTCGATTGTTAACCAAATTCTGCTTGTCAGCGGTTTAGAAATGTATAGAGAACAGTATTGAGAATTAAAGGTTTAAGGTTAATTAAGTTAAAGTTAATTAAACACGAAGGCGCGCTATAAAAGGAGCCTTAGGTCTTACTGGACCATTTGTCAATCAACCGTCGTGTGATGTAGAACTCTTAGAGTCAAGTCAGCTTGAGCTACAGCTACTTCAAAGCAGTGAACAGCGGGCACCTTCCTCAAAATTGTTTTATGTCTCCGTCACAATACAAGAATTTTTGAGATTTGTATTTCCTTTCTCCAGTGGAAACTGTCTTTATTTGTGGCGGTAAATTTGAGATCGAAGTGGGTGGTTCGCACGTTACCTCATGCCACCATGATGGTGAAAGTAAACAATAGATATCTCATTAGCTCCTTTTGTTCGTCTACCAGCATTTAAATTTGACCCGCACACGTCAACGGTGAATGACAAATGAGCCAAGGTCTTCCCAGGGAAGACTTCCTTATATAGCGCGCCCTCGTGTTTAAGTTAAAGGTTAATTAAGAAGTAAAGGGTTAATTAGGCATCTCAGCAGTCTTTCCCCTTAGCCTAGCTACGATGTTCAACCCCATACAAATAATCTACAACTCTTTCAGGAGACAGACTTGGAGGCTATTCACAGTACATAAGCAAGGATTTGAACCCGGGGAAACAACAAATCTAGTGGGTGGCAGTTTGAAAGATTATTTGAGACCTCTTTTTCTTTGACGTGCAAAAAAGTTGCCTTCAAAATGAGAGTAACAGGGAATACTAATGCAGTAACATAGGTAAATAGTTATGGTTAGAGTATATGTGAGTAGGGAGAGTAAAGGTGAAATGCACAGGACCATCGCATACCCATTATTATTGCTTATGTGAGAAAACATTCTTTTTCGGCAGTCTTCTCACGCCGAAGCACTTGCGGATGCGGACAAGAGGCTTGAGGCTGTCCATGAGCATAACAGAAACTTAGAGGAGAAACAGGAGGCGCTGGAAAATGAGTTGCACAGCACCGAGGATGAGATGAATAATCTCAAAAAGCAATCCGAAAACGCGAAGAACGAAATGGAAAAGAAGCAGAAGCAGCTTCAGAAAGAACTTGATGAAAGAGGTTGGTAAAAGGTGTAAAATTGACGTACACGAATTTCAGTTTGCAATTGTACAAGTGCCCGTGTGACTGATGTAATTAGCAATCATTAAGAACTGATGCACTGATTTGAGTGGCTCAGCACTTTTGGAAGGTTAAATTGGAACGTAGTTTCGGATATTTAGGTGCCAGGAATACGTCATGCAAGCTGTGATGAAGAGTTTCGATTTTAAGGACCCAGTTTGTTTTTCCCAATTGAAGCCCAGTATCAAATTCCCCCCAAGGAAAAGAAGAACTCTTTTAAAAATTTGCCCCGCTCCCAACGTGAGGCCTTGTAGTTAGTTTGTAGGTAGCGCCCAGTTGGTATCGAGAAGGCACCGGTTCGAATCCTGTCTGAACCTGGATTTTTTTTTTCCAAGCCTTTCATACCCTTAGTCGTTTCCGGTAGCGTTTCCGTTTTACTGTTTTTACCTTCCCTTCTTTTTTCTTTCGCTGTGGTAGAGAAATAATGAGTTAGAACTCTTCATTTAATTTGATTGAATCTCGAGTTTTGTTTTAACGCTGAGGCCACGTCGGTTTGATCGTGCTCACCTTGTGAAACTACCAGCCATAAATTTCGGTGGGGTGATGGCCCCGATTTTATGGGTTCAACCTTGATTAACTTGTTTTTAAAAAAAATCACAGTCTGCTATGGGGGTCTATTTCGTTGCTTGGTTATTTTCATTAACCTTCCACATATTTAAATATTTTACTGTTGTGTGATTATGAGACAAACATGCTGTTATTTCATTTTAAACTTTGACTTTGTCCTTTGCTTTGGGGCTTCACCATGATCGCGATCACTTTTATTTCATCTTTTGTCATGCAAAATACCATGTCTTTGATTTGTATTGATTTCATCGGGCGTTGCTTTGCGATCTAAGTTAACCATCGCTTTCCACTGTGCACCACGCCTTTCGCCATGGGTTTGTTCATCGTAGTGACAATTTGAAGTGAACTCGATATCTTGCTCAGTCAGCTTGAAAACACACTAGAGAATAGATCCCTTAATTTTCTACGAGGTGAGTTGCTATACTTTTGTTTCTGCGCTCTTTTGATGGTCCTCACTTTTTTGTGTTTGCCTGCCTTTTTTGACATTCAAAATAGGCCACCTTCGAGTTCTCGGAGTAATTTCGAGTTATTTCGGCACCAGTTCACTAAATCGCGAGAACTCGAAAGAGGTCTATTTTGTTTGGTTGTGCGTTATCTTTACTCACAAGCCGTACATACATATATCTCATACCAATCATCTTTGTGTCAGTTTGCAAATCAAATTCGGTGAATAACCTACTTATCTGACTTGGCCTTTACCTTTGTTTTTTTCCGTAAATGTGTCATCTGTATATTTAATAGCCGTAGGGAATAATTTGATTTTTAATCGTAACTATCTGTATACTGCGATATACCACTTTCCGATTTTTTAGTAACCTAATCAACGTCGAGTCCCCAAATATTAATGGTGTTTAATTAACAAAATAGATGCTCTAAGTTCAAAGGTTAAGATTATCACCAGATTTTTACGTAGATATATTTAGGTTTTATAATGCTTCAAAAGTCATATTGTTACGGCTATTGAAATCTCTGTTAAGATACTACAAAGATAAGCCAAATGTTGAAGAACAAATAAAGTAGAGTCACACTTTTATAATGTTTATTTTCTTGTAGACGCAGACTTCACCTCGAGTATGGATGCACTCAATTCTCAAAGAGAAGAGGCTGAGAAACTAATCGAACAACTAAGAACAGAGGCTGAAGCTCGTGCAGAGGAAATAGTTATGTTGAAAGAGGAAGAGGCTAATCAGCAGCAAGAGAAGCAGCTCCTGCTTGACGAAGTTCAACAACTTAGCGAAGCTGTTGAACATCTTAAAGAGAAGGACATGGATATTGCCAAACTGGAACAGGAGCTGGATGCTGTGGTAGAGGAGAAAGGTAAACTCGAACACCAGCTTAAAGCTGCGGGAGATGAGCTTGTGAAATTGAAAGAAGCGAACGAACAGCTGCAGAGAGAAGTCGAAAGTACCAAAGTCGCGTTAGTCGAAGCTCCAACTAAAGTTGAAGCCACAAGCGCGTTGTTGGGAACTGTTGGCTCTTCCTTCGATGAGGCTGTTCTCACTGTTGGAGATGTTGTACCCTCAGAGAATGTGCAATCAATGCGTGAAGAGATTCAAGAGTCCATTCCATTGGAACACGATCAGGCTCAGAATTCTGCCATCAGAGAAGAACTTGAAAAAGTTACAAGACAGCTGTTGGGTATCCAAGCCGAATTTTCCAAAGTAAAAGCCATGAATGAGAAACTTAAAGCAAAACTGCGAGTGCAAGTGAAAAGGACGAAGGTGAAGTCCGAATCGCTCAGCGATATAGATTCAAATGAGCTAAAAGAAGAAATTGAAAAAGTTCGCCTCGAGAAACTGAACTTAGAAAAAACGGCTTACGAGGCACGAGAAGAAGTAGACGTAATCATGCGTCACAAAGATGCTGTCATTGGAGATTTGAAAGTAAAGATTCAGCAGCTTCAAGATGAGCAAAGGCGGCAAGAAAGCCTTTCAGAGAAACTGGAGAAACTTATAGCACAGCGAGATGATGAGATACAGGAGCTGAATAATCGTTATCAAACCGTGTGCAAAGAGAAAGACACACATATCCAAAGTCTTGAGAAGTCCCTCGAGCAAGAAAAGCTTACTAGTATGCAAGAACTTGAGCACTGTAAAGCTGGATATGAACAAGTACTAAGTAACAGAGACACTAATGGGGAAAGTCTACAACGAGACATTGCCAATGCCAGGAAGGAAATAGAACACCTGAAAGGCCAGCTTAACGAAGCAAATCAGTCTTTGGAAGAACTGACTAAGCTCAAAACCGACTTTGATCACATTGTGTCTGGCTTGCGCGAAGACCTTCAAGAGGCACTAGATGGGAAAGCAGCCGCTGATCAAATTGCGCATGAGTTCCGAGTCCAGCTCAGAAGAAGCAAATCTTCAACAGAACAGAGTGGTGTTGGAGTTAGCGATATTGCCATTGGAACTCCAGAAGGGGACAGGTCATACGAAGATGTCCGGGTCAAAGCTGCTCAGGAAGAAGTGTTCAAGTTAAAGGAAGCTTTGGAGTCATTGAATAAAGAAAAGGAGGAACTTGAAAAGAGTTTAGATGACGGCAAACAAGGTAACGATGAGGCACAAATCAAGGAACTTGAAGTAGATGCAAAGGATGGAGTGGAAGAGATGGAAGGAGAACTGTCTGCCCTGTCAAATGACGTAGTTTGGTTGCAAAATGAGTTGAAGAAAGCTTCGTCGCTCAATAAAAGCTTAGATAACAAGCTGAAGGCGTTGTCAAGAAGAAAAAGAACAAGATCAGATCCAAGAGAAGAAGATAGTGAGATGAGAGCCGAAATTGAAAGGACTCGAGCCGCTAAACTAGAGAGCGAACGAAAGGAGCAAGAACGTCGGGAGGAGCTTGATGAATTTGTCAAAGAGAAAGAAATTATTGTTGCTGCTCTCAGGTCAAAATTGGAGCTTGCTTTGCAGGAAAACGAAGGAGCTATCAATAAAATCCGAGACTATGAAAAACAGCTGCTAGAAAAAGATTTCAGAGTTCGCGATTTGACCGAACAAATATCGCCTTTGCTTTTAGACAACGATGCGCTGAATAAAACGGTAGAAGAGCTTAATGAATTGAATTCCGAACTACAGTCTTCAGCAGACCTTGCAGCAGACACAAAGCTGGAGTTGGACAGTAAGCAGTTGCTCCTTAACGAAAGAAACCAAAGAATCTCTGAATTGGAGACTCAGATGAAACGCACTGAGCAAGAACATCAAGAGTTTATTGAAGGAATTAAGAGGAAGCACGAAGATCTCTTGTCTGAGAAAGAAAAACAATCGCAACAATCAATCACGGAACTAAGTGAGAAAAACAAAGAGCTGGAGGAAAATATACACATGGTCACTGAACAAAAAGGTGAGATCGAGAAAGAGTTGTTGAAAACTAAATCTGAGCTTGAGCAAGTTGTTCAAGACTCTTTTCCCGTTATTGAAGAGAAAGATCGTAAGATTAACGAGCTCCAACTCGCAATGGATGAGAACCAGAAGAAAACCGACGAAAGTATTTTCCATTTGCAAGCTAATGAGAAGGAGTTGCAAGAACGAATTCAAGTGCTTGATGCCCGTAACAACGAAATTAAAAATAATCTTCAACAAGTGCAGTCGGAGCTTGAGAAACGACTGCAGGAGGGAGAGGGATTAGAGGAGGAACTTATGCATGCACATTCCCAGATTGACGAACTAAACGCTGAACTGTCTGTTGCTTACCAAGAAAAACAGGATATTAATAAGCTGCAAAGCAACTTCCACCACATCATTTCAGGACTTCGTGAGGATCTTCAGCATGCCCTTGATGGGAGAGCAGCAGCCGATGAAATAGCTCACGAGTTCCAGGTTCAGTTGGAAAATTTGAAGAAGTCGTCGCCGGAGGTTTCTGCTGATAGTAACCTGATAAAAGAAAACAATAAAATTGCCGAGATGCTTCAGGCAACACGACGTGAGGTTTCCGACTTAACAACTGCCCTCGACGTAACGAGCAAAGAAAGAGATGACTTGCAAGATAAGATCAGAGAGTTTTCCATCCAAGAGACAAGTATCAAAGAACCCTTTTCGAGTAGTGAGGTAGACTGGAAGCTTCCTAAGAAGGAAGACCGCGAAAAGCCAGTGGAAGAAGTCATTTTGCAGTCTTCTGTTGATAACCAAGTTACTGCCACTGCAAATAATGAAACGGAAATAGAACTGGAAAACCTTAAGAATGAAATGAAGAAGATCAAAGGAGTTAACGACAAGTTAAAGGCGAAGCTGAGAACCGTGATGAAAAAGAAAAAAGAAAAGACCGATTCTGGAGATGAAGAAACTAGTTCTCGTGATGATTTACAAGCCGAGCTTGAGCAGGTTCGTCAAGAAAAGCTTGAAAGTGAAAAAGCATGTCAAGAACTACGACTTGAATTGGAGTCATTTGTAATACAAAAAGAGAGCATCGTCAAGGAGTTGAAAAATAAGATCGAACAGCTGGTAGCGGACAGGGGAAAGAGTAGTAATTTGATTGAAGAGTATGAGCATCGGATTGTGACGAAAGATGGCGACTTAAAAGAGATGAGAGATAACATTGGACGCCTTCAAAGTCAGAACGATGAGGCTTGGAGAATAGTTCAACAACTGAGGGAAGAAAATGACAACTTGTACGTTCAGAAAGAAGATGTAATCTCGCAGAAAACTGAGATCGAAGATGATTGCAATGATTTGAAGCGGGAGCTCGAACGAGTCGCTGAAAACCTGACGAGGAAAGAAAACGTAATTTCAACGCTTGAGAATCGCCTTCAGGACACAACAGAAAATTACAAAACAGAGCTAGAGGCCACAAGGGTCCAGCATGACGGAGTAATTTTTGAAATACAGAGTCACGCTGATAGACTGGAACGGGAACTTTTGTCCACCAAAAAAGAGCTGGAGCATTTAAAAGGCGAGTTAGGAGAATTAAAGAGAGAAAGGGAAGATATAGCTCAACTCAAAGTTAACTTTGATCATATAGTGTCGGGGATTCACGAAGATCTCCAACGTGCTCTGGAAGAAAAGGGAGCTGCTGATCAAATAGCACATGAATTTCAGGTTCAACTGAAACGACTGCAGAAAAAATCAAAAACGTTTCCAACGAGTTTTAGAGATGTAGCTGTTGAGGCGATAGACACAGAGGGAATGAACATGCACGAAAGGCTAGAGAATGCTCTGTTGGAGGTCTCCAACCTCCAAGACGTTTTGCAGTCTGTCAACAGTGAAAAGTTGGATTTAGAAGATAGATTAAGAACACTTGAGGCCACGCCACAGTTAAGAGAAACACCAAAAGATGCAATAGAAAGAGGGCGAAAGGACGGTGAGCAGGAAGAGATTGTTTCCAAGGTTGTCATCCAGAGTCTAGGGAACGAGCCAATTCAGACTGCAGTGTGTGAGACAGAGCCTCTGTTAAGTTCACCCCCTTCTGACCCTGACGATGTTCAGAAATTGAAGGATGAGTTGTCTAAGGCACATTCTGAACTAGAGAAAGTCAAATTAGTCAACGAACGCTTAAAGGCTAAGGTTAGAGCGGCGATTAGAAAAAACAAAGAAAAAGAAGGCAAATCAGGTACTGGTGACGGAGAAAGCAGTGAAGAACTCATAGCCGAGCTGAACAAAGTACGTCAAGAGAAATTAGAGAGTGAAAAGGCGGCTCAGGAATTAAGGATCGAGTTGGACAGTTTTGTTAGAGAAAAGGAAGGAATTTTTAAAGAGCTCAAAGCGAGCATACAGAAGTTACTATCAGAGAAGGAAGAGACCAGTAGTCTGGTGGAGTATTATGAAAAATGTATGATGGAGAGAGATGCTGAAATTTGTACACTCGAGGAGCGGTTTCAGTCTTTGGAAGAGGAAAGGCAGGCTATCGACCAAAAACTTTCCGAAAACAAAGTAGAAAACGAGAATGTAAAAGCAGTTTTAGAGCAAGTCCAATTGCAAAAGGGAAAAGCCGAAAAAGAACTGCAACAGGCCAAGCTGCAGCTGGAGCATCTTCTTCAAGGAGAACAGCCTTTGCTTGATGCGAAAGACCAGCAAATTGCAGACCTCGAAGCCCAGTTGTCCAACCAGAAAGGCCTGAATACAGAAGAAAAGAAACAGTTAAGAGATCGTTACGACACTGTCATAGCTGAACAACAAAACCATTTGCACAATTTAGAGGAAGCGCTTACCTCAACCCACGCTCAAACTGAACACTTGAAAACACAGGTTCAAACATTGGAGAGAGAACGAGAAGATATTAACAAGCTAAGAGCAGACTTTAGCCACATCGTGTCAGGTCTTAGTGAGGATTTGCAGCGGGCTTTGCAGGGAAAAGTAACGGCTGACGAAATCGCGTCCGAATTCCAACTAAAGCTGAAGCAACTCGACAAATCGTCAGCGTTGTCAGAAAGAGATGTCAAAGATGCTGGCGTGGGTATAGGGGAGATGGGTTTCCAATCTTCTTCTGAGAAAGATAATAAGAAATTGGAAGAAATCATCGAACACCTCAACGAGGAAAAGGAAAAGTTAGACGAGAGAATTATGGGACTTGACGTGGTTTTGCAAGACAGAGAAGGTTAACATCAATTCCTCCATTATTGTATTTTTAATTTTTGCGAGAAATCACTCCGTGTTCTATTTAAAGCAATCGTCTTGATGTAAGTTTAGCGCTCAAAATATCTGCTACTCGATAAGAAAGAAACCTATCTATCCTAATTAAACTGGTCATAATTTGGGAATGTCTTTAAATTCATAATTAAACGAAGGGTGATAATCACAAATATTTTCTTCCCCGCTCCGTGCTATTGATCACGTGGTCGACTTATCTACAACGGGAAGTCATTTAATCAAAACAAATTTTAAGGATTTTCGTTTCTAACCGTAAATGAGTAAGCTTTGTAACGACCTTAGTGATTTTATAGATATAGTCTTGTTCATTGAGAAACCTTTGCTCTCCATTTATTCCGCCTAGTACACCACATTCAGTTATTCAACAATAATCATTGCGTCGTTGTCTTGAATTGACGTTCACAGACGAAGCCACAAAACATTGTTCTTTCCCTATTTTATCTAGCAAATACCGAAATGTTAAGTGACTTTTGGTTCAGACCAGAGGACATTAAAGTAGAAAATGGCTTCGGGAAGAATTTTACGGTACTTTGTAGTCATGTATTGCTTTGGTTGTTTTGTACAGGAGAGTTGGAAGAAAAAGAGAAACAAATTCAGGAACAGCAGCTCGAAATCGAAACATTAACTACAGACCTTGCGAACGCTGCGGAGAAATTTACCACCGACATTAATCAAGTTGTCGCTCAAGGAGAAGAAATGAGGCGGAAACTACAAAGTAACTTTGACGCCAAAACTGAAGAGTTTGATAGCCTTCAAGAGCAGTTCACGGCTTTAAAGGACGATAATGCGAGAGAGGTTTGTTGGCTAGATTTAGCAACTAAATGCTGTGAGAAATGCGTTTCTGCTATAATGTTTTGTCGCATTTTCTGTTGCAGAAGGAACAGCTACAGGGCGAACTCGCTGAAAAGCGTCAAATCATAGACAAACTGAATGAAGATCTAAGTCAGTTCAGGAATGGAGTGCAGAATAAATCTGATGAAGAAAAGTTATACGAGGAGCTGCAAGCAAACTATGAATTACTGGAGAATGGTAACAACAAACTCCGCCAAGACTTGTATATGACAATGAAAGGGAAGGAAAATTTACGAGTCAAATTGAGAAAGGACTATGATCAGATCTTGTCGTCTTTGAAGCTGGATCTTGAGCAGAGTCGACAGCAAAACCTCGAAAAAGAGAGATTCATTCACAACCAAAGAGTAGAAGTCGAAACTCTTGTTAAAGACAAAGAGTTACTAGTTGCCAAACTCAAAGACACCTTCGGTGTGACCGAGGAAAACACTCAGAGGTCTGAGGACGATCAGACCGATGGGGATGACATTGTGAGCGGCTTAAAGAACGAGATAAACTGGCTTAGGAAAGAATGTCAGGACTGTAGGATGGAAAAAGACAAATTGTATACTAAGTTTCATGAAGTGACAGAGGCGCTAAGAGGAGAACTGGAGAAGTCTTTAAGCGAGAAAGAAAACCTTACCCAAAAAACTGAAGAAACCCTTCATCAAAATAGGGATCTTCAGCAGTCGTTGATTGAAAAGCAGTCGGCGCTTACTAGAGCTAAAATCCAGTTTGAACACATCGGAAAAGGCTGGCGAAATGATCTCGATGTTGCAAGAGCGGAAAAAGAAGAGGCTTTGAGTCAGCTTGGGGAACTTAGAAACCAGGTAAGCTTGAACGTTAATTGATCGAGATGTGGTGGAAGAATTAAGAATTGTGGCTAAACTGAAGATAGTTGAGGGCGCACTTCAACTAGTGAGTGGGTAAACCGAGAGCCATTGGGGCAGTTCAGTGCCAGCTGTTTGCACGTCTCATCTTCGATATCGGGAGAATTATGGCGAGGAGACGGCTGGTAATTAGGACCATGGAGCTATAGTCTTGATATACGAATGAAGGTCAAGTGTAAATTTACTTGAGAAATTAAAAAAGAGATAAGGGGGGGATACGCGCTTGAGCGAACGAATGTGGAAAAATTGAATAATATGACGGGGAGAAAGACAAATACAAGGTGAGGTCGAGGGAGGCAAAGAAGGGAGCAAAGGATTGTGGGCGATAGGTAGGTGTGACAGGAGAAAAAGTTGAAACGAAGACCTGATCACGAGTTAAAGCAAAAGCGCACAACTATTGAAGTTCATTCGCTTAGTTGTATAATTTCTGTTAAGTTTAAAAAGTTCTTTGTCGGTTACTTTTTAACTAGTCGATGTTTTAATAGATTGCCGGTCGAATGAAAAAACGTCCCGTTCAGGAGATGTTTTAAGATGGGGTAAAATGCACAACAGTGTTGACAGTCAAGTAAAGCGTCCGCCTTTTAGAAGTGTTAACAAACTGAAATGATAAATTTGATGAATACCTTCTCATATTTCAGAGTGTCACTATCGATATGCCTGTTGACGAGGAAGGAGCTTTGGAGACCATAGAGCAACTCAGAGTTCGGTACGACACGCTTCTTCTCATTTGCTCTGAGCCGTGGCAAATGTTTCCTCTGACGAGTTTCATTGTTCAAACATTTATGTGACTTCTCACTAAAATTCTGATCATCTTTACCATCTAATTTGCCAAGGAAAATTGTTTTATGTAATTATGACTTTCAACGTGAGTGGGAACTCATTGTTCAGGCTATGTTTTTTTTTTAATCTTTGCGCAGGTTACAAGAAATGGAAGAGTTATACGAGGCTAAATGTCGCGAAGGGGAGGTAAGAGAGCTTTTTCTTTACGGCTTGTCGTGGTTATTGCCATCGTTTCATATCATGGATCATGCTCTGTTTTCTCATATTGTTACATTTTCTCGTTCTTGTCTGAAGGTTTCCCTGCAAATTGAAGAAGTTGGAAGCCCCTCAAAGGAATCTCCTACGAAATACCATTATTCTTCACCGTATGTCAGTAAGTATCTCTGTGCGTCCGTTTATAATCATCGAAGAAAGCCAACTTTAATTCTCCTTGGCTTCAAAATTCCAAGTCCAGGAATTAGTTAGGGTCGCCCGTCCTTTAAGAGCTCATCGTTGCTTGACTAACGAGATTATTTTCCTCGCTTGATTTACAGGTCGCCAATCCCGCTCTTTTACTGGTCAATTAGGACGCTATTTTAAACGAGGGTATGTACTCTGGATCATGATTCCCCTGCGTCTTTGTGCCTTTTAACAGAATTGACAGGGTTGAAGTTCTTGAGTCTAACAAATTCGACAAGAAAAATTTGCCGAAGTTCTTAGATCCAACTGCGTTGAGTTCGAAACTTTCCGGCAGCCAGTTATACGTTATATTGGAATACGAAAAGGAAAAGAAGGGAAAGGCATGAAGTTAACTACTTTTAAGAATCATCTAATGTGCTATTGTAATTGGCGTTATTTTTGTTTCATATGCAGGTCTTCTGTTTCCCTGGGCAGGCCCCGTGGATTCCGCAAGGCAGCCCTTGCCTTGTACTTTGTCGCTCTTCATCTGTTGGCTTTTATGTACATATTCCAAGTATTATTTTAGGATTTAATGTGTAGGCTGTAAGGAGCATTATTACACGGCTTTGGCAGTCAGAGGGCCAATAACTAAAATCAACCAATCAAAATGCTCTATTGCCGGTCAATATTTTCTCAGTATTGGACCGGGCACTGTCCCGAATGGTCCCGAATGATACCGCACTTGTGTCCCTTTGAACTTCAGTCGTATAATAAATCTCTTATTAACCAAGCTTGCTCGGGACCGTACTGGAAGAATATCGGCCCTCGGTCTTTTTTGTACGGACCGAGCTGCGCTCGGTCCGTACTGTCAAGACCTCGGGCCGATATTCTCCCAGTACGGCCCTCGCGCTTGGTTAATAAGATATATTTAAGAGTCGGAATTTAACCTCAGGTCAAAAAAATAGGTGTGTAGTAACATTTTGAGCTCACGGATTCAAGGAGTCTCAGAAACGTAGAACTTGATGATTAAGAAGCCAGATTTGAACTTTGGTGAAAACAGATCTGTAATATGGGTATTTAAACCGCGATTAGATATTTAGATATTCAACTCACAAACAGACATAGCGAATTATCTTTCACGTTTTAGATTAATTATTTTTTAGCTACTACTGTTTCATTTACTTAAGAGTTTGACAAGCTCGCGATACTGAAGAAAATGCGAACTACTAGGTTTACGTTGTCATCGTTATTATCATCAAAATCGTCGTTATCGTCATCATCAGGAGAGTCGACGTAAGGGAGTTTCATTCCAGGATGATTCGGTTGATGCGTTTTTTAAATAGAGGAAATAAAAGAAATCGTCCTCATTGATATCATTTTATTTGCTGTAAGGCCGACGTGAAATGTCTCTCTTCTGACTGCTGGTACAAAGGTGCATTACGTCTTAAAAATAAAATGACAGAAATAATCACTTCTCCAGTGACGCAGGGAATTTGATTTTTCGGTGGACAAAATTAATGTATGTATTAAACGCCTAAGAATAAAACTGTTCAAGTTACTGGTTTTAAGATTGTGATGGAAAGGCGTTGAGATAGATAACTCTACGATTACTCCTTGAGTTTCTGGAGCTCATTTGTTTGTTCAAGTGTGCTCAGAGTGCAATGGAGGCTCTGCGTTGTGAAAAGTAATGTCAGATCGAAAAGTAGTGAATATGATTTTATACACCTATGTATCGCTGTGTTATTGAAAAGTGAATGTTCAGCCTACTTCTTTACGTCTATTTATCAATTTGCCGTTCTCTGTCGATGTTTGTTTTCCAACTGATTTGTAATTTTCCAAACCAATCGCTTTAAAGTTGTAAAAGTTAACTTGCTTCTGGTTCAGTAACAGTACACTCGCCATGGACATTAGTGAGTTCGTTCGACTGGAAGCTGACAGCGATGTGATGCTTTCCTTTTCTGGCTGCAGTGAACTTGGCAGTGATCTTGGCTTCTTCCTTAGAACCCACAGGGCCCCTATAAAAAGAAATTTTGTTTTAAGTTGACCTATAGGAACCCACACCTCACATGCCAAGTTGACCTATAGGAACCCACACCCCACATGCCGAATGAGGTAATGTAGAAAGTCTAATCAGCAAAGCCGCTTCCTCTGGGAGATAAAGGGTGGCTGCATTGGCAGACTACTTGAGATTCTATTTTTTTATTTATTTGTTTATTGGCAAGGTTCGTTACAATTATTCCGCAATGAGCTGCGATTCGAATTTTGGTTGGGGTCATCGCGCTGGCCTCTGTGGGAGAGTTGGCTAACTCCCCTCTTTCTGTCAATGAATATAATGAGTCTAATACTTATCCGGCTGGGTAGCCTGACCAAAATACCGCGGCGACCTGCGATGGACTAGCATTCCCAAGTGTGGAATTGCAATCCTGTTAGTCGCCTGAGAATGTGAAAACCAGGATTGACTTTGGTGATAAAGGGGAGTTGGCCCTTGTCTGCAGTCATCATAATTATGGAGATTAAATTCTTACTTATACATTCAAACATGCTGTAGGTACCCATGCGCCTTTTCAAATTACAAACGAACATAACTCCTGCTGAAGTGCTGTCACTCACTTGCAGTCGACCACCCGTGACTTGGGTTTCATTCGTGTGGCTTCTAGATGGAATTGTCCCTTTGTTAGGGGTATTGACAAGGGGTTCGGGAATGACACGGTAACTTCGACTTCGTCACCAATCTTTACTTGCGATGACGATGCCTAATTGGAGAAACAAAATAAAATGTATGAAAGTCAACATTAGTCTAAACTACTGTGAGAGAATCCACATTCTCTGATGAAAATGGCATAAGAAATAAAATCAATTAACCCGCAGCCAAATCCTTGCAGTATTGATAACCCACCGTAACCTCCAGCGCGGGCTTGGTGAGCTCTACCACATCCTGAGCAGCAAAGGACTGTCCTGTATCTTCTACGAAACCTTTCACGTACAACTTAATGGTGGCATCCGCTCCTGACTTGGTGATGTAATCTTTGGGTTCAATTTTCAACGCTAAACGTTTCTCTGACAAGAAAAAAGCGAAATGCTCAAGTACACAGTAAAATTACGGGTCGTGGAGACATATTTGCTTCTTCACCACTACACGAGTATAATATCTTTCCTTTTTACAACTAGACTTAATTTCGCCAGCTGACATATGATTGGCGATAGACGAGAACTTGTAGACCATGACTGGCAATTCTAATTCTAACAACACATGTTCTAGTTGTAAGATTTGCCCAAGGGAAAATAAAGGGGACCGTCATTTTCTCTTGACATAGTAAAGCAAAGATTCTGCTTTGACTAAACAGTTCTACCATACGCTCAGGTTACCAAGAGAGAGGAGAGTGAATTCGTAAGCTAGAAACGACGAACAATTTTGTAGCACATTGCTTAATGCCTACGTGGTAACGATATAATTAAATTATAGTTTGCTTGGCGCCGCTCATGGGCTCACGATCTAACATCGCTCACTCAAGCATTATGTAGCTTGCATTTCACCGACATAACAAAACGCTGTCCGATAACAGTACTTGTCAAGAGTTTCCTGTCGCTCAGAGATACATCCAAGCATCCGATCAGTTAAACTGTGGATTTCACTACGTCATTCACTATTAACAAAATAGTTAAACTACTTTGACATCTTCGTATACTTCTACGAGCAATGAAACCTTACCTGCTTTGGAGTTTAACAGGAACTGAAGCTTGTATGTTTTCAGTTTTTTAGCGGGAACACCAGTGTAATGACTCAAGACAGCTGTAAAGTTAACTTTTATATTTCTCGTATTTTCTGACTTGTTTTCCACAACAACGGCGACGTCAAAACTGTTGCCCATGTAAACAGTGTCTCGCACATCTAGACGAAATTCAACATCCTCGCTTTGAGGCTGGTAAATTTCGTGTTCAGTGCGACTGCTAAACTGGAAAGCAAATTTGACAGCATTCCTCTCTTCTTCAGAACCTGTTAAAATGACGTAGGTTTTAAAATTCATCAAATACGCTAGATTGAATTAGGCTGACTGAGGTACTACATGCATACGTGGCCGATAAATCCAGCGGCTGACTTAAATGAATGACTGACCGTATGACTGAGTGATTGACCGAACGACTGATGGACTGACTATTATGGAGTGGAATACTGGACAAAATTGTTATTAGATCGTGTGTGGTGAGGCATTATATCGTACTGCAGGGTTACGTAGCCGCAAGTGCTATATCGTACCCGGTATGTTGTCTTATCATAATGGCGATGCCATTATGTCGTACCACATGCTGCTATATCGTGCCCGATAATGCTACATCGTATCCGGTGTGTTGTTGTATCGTAGCAGAGATGCCGTCTCATCGTACCTGATAATGCTATATCGTAGTCGATAATGCTATATCGTACCCGGTGTATTGTTACGTCGTAGCAGTGATGCTGCTTCATAGTACCATATGCTGCTATGTCGTACCCGATAATGCTATATCGTAACCGGTGATGCTTTATCGTACGTCTAACTGGTCAGCGGCTTACGGTGAAATTGGCGCGAAACTGACATCACGTGTTCTAGAATGCGATAGTTCTCAATTTTTATTGGTATTGGACAAGTAGAGATTTTTAGCTTAGATGTGTGTTTCTTTCCTCTAATCTATTGATATGTCAGATCAAGATCTCATAGCAAGAACCACATCTATTTTAAGAAATGCATTACCAGAGCTAGAGGGCACTTTGAGTTCAAATAGGATCAATAATAACGTTGGTGACCTCCATGGTGCAAGTGTCGGCACATCTGCCCTTCGCGAACACGAACGTGCCTCGGATAACTTCAGGTGAGTAAATAATATGTCATTTATGAAGCTTAAGCTGAAGGTTCTTTATTTGTGAAAAAGAAAATCTCTGTAGCCTGGAGAACAGGCGTAATTTTTTTTGCGTGTAAGCCGCTGACCAGTTAGACGTACGATAAAGCATCACCGGTTACGATATAGCATTATCGGGTACGACATAGCAGCATATGGTACGATTAAACGGCATCACTGCTACGACGTAACAATACACCGGGTACGATATAGCATTATCGACTACGATATAGCATTATCAGGTACGATGAGACGGCATCTCTGCTACGATACAACAACACACCGGATGCGATGTAGGATTATCGGGCACGATATAGCAGCATGTGGTAGGACATAATGGCATCGCCATTAAGATAAGACAACATACCGGGTACGATATAGTACTTCCGGCTACATAACCATGCAGTACGATATAATGCCTCACCGCACACGATCTAAAAACAATTTTATCCAGTATTCCACTCCATAGACTACCTTGTTGACTGACTAACCGACCTACTGATCAACTGAATCTAGGTATGTTTGTCTGTCTGTGTGTTTACCAAACAGACGGAAAGACAAGACTAACCTTCTGGATATTTATAATTATGGGTAATGTCTTCTCTCTGTTCGGATCCTACAGCCTTCGTGCTAACCGAGTTCCCAATACACTTCTTGTCTACATACGAAGCTTTCATTGAGCCATCAGATTTCTTGACATCCCAGTAAACACGATCGCCATTTACTTCGGCGAACACAAAAGCAGTGTCGTAAGGCAGGTACACCTCTCCTTTTTTAACCGCTTTTAATGACGCAGGACCACAGCGAAAAACACCTGAAACAGATAAATAAATCAGTCTCACGAAAGTGATCACTTTTAAAGCATCCACTTTCGATTAAAGAAGTTATTATATTTCCTTTTGCTGTGGAGAGGGCATGGCAAGGTGGCTCTGAGCCCCGGATTTACAACAAATCTTCCTTTTAAGCACTCATTCGTATCTCTGTTTTGAACATCGCCAACTGATCTGCCCCCCTAATTGGTTGACAGTTAACAAATGGTAAACACCACAGCGTACACTATTGAGTTATGGATGCACGCGGGAGGTTGTTGAGCACGAAAGAAGCGTAATAGTCAAGTAACGATCAATGTAAGAGTCGCGCGAGGTGATGGCCGAGAGGGACTCTAGTTTCTTGAGTGCTTAGCAAACGTCCCAAGTGCCTCCATAAATCAATAGTGTACGCTGTGGTGTTTACCCTTTGTGTTATAACATAACATTGATACATTGTAGCAAAAGAGTTTCTTTTGCATAACTAATCTTACGTGACCAGAAATATCAAGCACGCGGAAACTAGTCTTTGAATTTGCTCACGTCAGCAGCGTACACCCATGGACAAATGGTGAACGATGAATTAACCAATCATAGCTCACGCTTTACCTTGGTTATGTTATAATTTGGGTTCTGATACAACGTTATTTCAAAGGAGATCCTTACGGTTTCTTGAATCAAAACTATCTACGAGGAACCATGACAAAAATTTTTGTATCGTCCAACATGCAAGTAAGGAGCAATATGCAAATGTACGTGCAATCTACTCAATGTACCAGTTTTGAGCTCTCTCAATGAGCTGCATAGACCTGCTCATTTCATCGAAAAGTTATCGGATACTGTTATCTTACGTAAAGCCTTGTAAATAATTCTAAAACAATAGCAGAATTTGACGTCAAAACCGAGCCCAGAGAGAACACGGCATCAAAAGAGTTTAATAACTATGCCCACTACTATTGGAGAAGTCTATAAATAAAAATGTTATGTGTTTTTTTGGAGCGTGGGATAAAGAAACAATTTTCAAAATCTTCCGAATATTTGAATATGGGAATTCCAATTTCGAGGTCGGTTGCCCCATCACTGCAGTACGACATTACAGAGACCGCGTTTAGTTCAGGCATAATCCATGATTATCTGTACATGGCAAGGGTTCCGTACGATGCTAGGATCAACAATTTCGAATTGGGAACCTGGCTTGTTGCTTAGGTCACCGACGGATTCTTTGTAACTCAAAGAATGTGGAGCAATCGACCGACAAAGGTAATGGTAAAGCTTCCTTACTGCTTTACCTCCACTTGTCTCTTGCGGCGTGGCATCATGCACCTGCCATCCATCATGTCCATCTGGTAAATCTGGACGTTTGAACCATGATTCGTTCCACACATGATAGTTCCTGATTTAAAAATAAAGAAAATCGATTTTGAAGAAAGCAATGATCCACCGCCATGAATCCCAGACGAGTGTAGGTGTGTATGACAGATACTACTGAAGGAGGAAATATAATGCATTATTTGCATGGCTACTCAATCATATCTCGGTTTCCATAGCATGAAGCGATTATAAGTTGCATCCCGGATAGGATATTTGCCATTGCAGGTTACCAGGAGCAGTTCGTCAAGCTTCAGTAACAGTTAGCCGCCACCGGCTTTGATTTTGGTATAGAGTTAGATATGGTGAAATTTAACATTGAAGTGTCTAAGAACACTATAGCCTTCAAAACAAGACCGTACTTTGCTGAAACTCTTGGTTACGATAAGAGAGACTCAAATATTCTAGACTGTGGATGCATCATTTTCCCTCAGAATAACCTATACACAGCCATTCGTTCCTGAAAAGGACACACTGCTTTAACAATGTGAATTCAAAAATTTTTTCTCCCCCCTATCTACACACGACACCAAAAGCTAAGTTTAAATGGAAGCCGATTACTGAGCACACAACGTTAGGCAGCACATACCACACAGAGTCGTTCATGTGAGGGATGAGATCTCCTTCCTCGTCAAAATGAAAATCAATTGTCATGCTCACATCAGAATCGTGAGCAGAATCAAAATTAGTCACGCTTCGAGTTGGGATTCCTAACGCCCTTAATACTGAAGAAATAAAGCAAACAGAAATATGGTTACTATTGGACCACGTCTGACATCATAGAACACGTTGTGGCTTAATTGAGGCCTGATTGTCGTGGATCTGCTGATCTTAACTTCCAACGCTTAAAGGAGAACTAAAGCCTAAAATTGGTATATTGTTTGCATTCATTTCTAGTTAGCTTTAGAGGAGTAAGATAAAGTGTCGATATTCATTTTCGTTCACTTCTTGTTTATACGAGAAAATTCGATTTGAAGTTGCTTTTTTCCCGCTTTTGGGGCTGTAAGACCATCGGCTCAAAATAGGTCAGCAGCGGTCGTTTATGACGTCAGTGGTGGGGAACCAGCTTAAGAAAAACAACTGTTACTATTTCATTTTCGTAGTTAATCCCCATTACAAGTCACGCAACTTCGATATCTCCATAACCAGTAGAGATTTTT